AACAATGGAAATGCTTCCTACCAATGAAAGAAAGAAAAAGGCATCGGCACAGCACTGAGATTCGAGCGTGCCCTCACACGCTCTGAATGCGAACGCCTTCACCATTCAGCTAAACACCAATGCTTCGTTTATCGTAATGTATATGAACCATGTGAATGCGTCCTAACGAAGCCATCCTACCTACCGTAGTCTTACCTTTCTTGATCAAAAATGCAGCCGCCATCACTTTTCACAAAGTAAAGTTGGACAAATCTTTGAGGAAACGGAAAATAGAACATTTTCAAAGGCCATAGGCATACCATTTTATTTCAGAAACACACTCACAATCAGGTTTTTCAGAAAATGGGACAACTATTTCAGAACCGGAAAATGCAATTCCAAGGACCATAGGCTATAAACTTACCTTTTTTTTATGAAAGTTGAGTCGTAGCGAGCTCGAACGTTGTAATCAGATATGCACCCGCAATCAGTTTTCATTTAGTTAAGCCCAATGCTTGTTTTCCCGAATATGAACCATGTGTATGCGTCCTCCCGGCAGAAGAAAGGTGAAATTCGTACCTATATATCGTTCCTCACGCTGCGATGGCGAGCACCTTTAACGGTTGAGCTAAGCACCAACTTTTTGTTTGATTTATTACTTGGTTTTGGTACTAAGCATATAACGCACACAAAACTGGTAAGAAAGCACGCATTGCACCAAGTTTACGTGAGCAGTCAATCAGCACTGTGCTGATTTTGACAGGCTTAAAATCGCCGCAAGTTCCCCAGCGGCTGTGGTTTTGAGAACCACTGTGCTGCCTCCAGTGCCACCTTACAAATTTCAGGAAACCAACGGATGCTTTCCTTGAATAGCCCGTGCAGACCATGCATCCTTATCAAAGTGGCAACCTGCCATTCTCGGTTCCAGATGCAGTGGAACCCCATAAGCACAACTGCATCACAAAGCACCCCCGTCTTCGTCCGCAACAATTATAAACCTATACGAAGGTAGAGGGAGGAGGAATAAACTTTATTATAAAAAAACAGCAGGTTTAGGTGGCCGGGCCTAGGCCTCCCATGAGGGGACGTCAAGGTCTTGCCTCGACGCCGCTTCACGGGCGTGCTGGGTCGCCCAGGTTTGAATTTGTCTTTTTTTCACTGTTGACTGCAAAACATCCAAAAAATAAATCCCTGCTCAACAATGCAGAAAAAAAACACGGTCTATAGATTCTTGTAGTTTACAAATAAAACAATGCGCAACCTAAGGTAAAAAGCACCCCTATTTCTTCAAAGAAAGTTTACACAGGTCCCACTATGGTGATAAAAAAAAAAGGAAGTTTTAGCTCCCGGCGTCACTTGCACCTTTTTTACTCTCTTCAGAACGTCACCTTAGCCCCCACTGTACAAATACCTGTACGTTGGCAATGTAAAAACAATACCACATGACGCAAAATAAATTTGTTTTGATCTAACAACAGCAAGGTAATCTCATGAAAACGTACACAAAGAAATCTTACACTGGACATGTGCACAATTTCTTTACAAAAATCGTACACATCTCCCCATAAAGAGGACCTTCAGTAGTGTGCTAAGCAGCCATGGTTTGACTTAAGATTCTGTAAAGAGGTGCTCTTTATACATCACCGTAGACGTTCATGGTTGCTTCCACAGCGGCTTTGCGAGACTGCCACACTCATGTCTTTATTCATGCTACTACACTGTGTGTGCGAGAGAGAAAGGCTTTTATTATACAGAGCAGCGCAGTGCTCATTGTACTGCATTTTCTTTGGCGCTGAGGAGAGGTAATCAATGGTAAAATGTGTCCCAAATATTCGATTCAGAAACCACTACTTCGCGTAGAAATGTTAGGTAATGGACCAATGGTTTATACTTTAGCGTCACGTATACTAACCGAACTTTATTGCCGAACTTGAAGCATACAGTCATGGACGAGCGGGTGGTCACGCATCCGGCGGCACATCGATCCAGTTGGCGACGATGTCACGATTTTCTTGCACGATGTTCCCCACAACTTCTCGCCAAAGGCAGTAAGTCGAAGTGTTTAAGTGTCTCTTCATATACAAAACCTGTGTCGTCCATGATAGGTTGCGGTCAATAATTGCACCTAAATATCGGTACTTCATTCAAGGCAGCGGTTTGGCCATAGGGTACCTCATCGGGCCATGGCGACTTACCAGGTTTATCTAGGGGCTATTTACCAGGCTTGAGTAGCGGTACCAAGCAGTTTCATTTCCATACTTGTGGTACCACGCCCTTGCTCCAGAACTCATTTTAGACATTCGGCAGTACGTGTCGTTCGCCTTATACCCAAGGTTTCAAAGCGCCTAACTGCCTGGTCCCCCGTCAGGACCAGGCGACGATGAGCGTCTGCAGGTGGCCATTGCAGTTTCAAGCTCCTGTGCTAAAAAACATGTGGTCCATACGTCACGATTCCCAAGACGCACACATTGCCACATTGGGTATAAGCACGTGTAGTCAGTTTCGCACAAAATTCTTCAACCACCTTGATCTCTCTTCGGCCTTGTTTCAGAGAAGGATACTTGAAAGAAGAAAACGCCGGTGTGGTAGATCACGAAGTGCACACACGGTCTTTTTACGGCAGGCGCTGACGTGAATCGAAGGATGGGCAGTAGTTTCCATCCGTTAGATTACAGTGCGCCAATACGGCGTTGAACCTGCTTTTGCAGCCGTCTTGCCTCTCTGAGGTCATTTGGTTCTCCTGTTTTTCTTAACGCTCGCCTTCGAATGGCCCTTAGTCGTCGCAAGTAATCTTCAAATTCATTGTATTTCGGAAAAAGCTGAAAGGTTTATGTAGCCATTTTCACAGCATGATGAATCTGATTCACAAAACTTGGTTGAACTGCACGTTCACATAGCTTTTCCATGTGCAATCGGAGTGCCGAACAATCCCTAATTCGTCGAAGGGCGGTATAGAGGTGCACTTGAGCAGTCTCTTTATCTCAGAATAAGTACGACTATGGTGCCTTCCGTTTGCGCGAGTCAACGCCTGGGAATCATTTCACGGCTATTTCTTGATGCCAAGAGACCGGGGTCAAGTCCAAGCGACTGCTTTACGTAGTTCCGTGCAATTATGTTGGTCAATCATCACTGAGGCAGAACAGATTGTATTGTGCTGCAAGCAGCGACTTTTTCCTTCCCACGGAGTCCATCTTCACACTCCCCTGAAGCGTGTGATGGAAGGGTCCAGCGAAAATCCACGGGGCAGGTGTAGAACAATAGTGAGCAGAAGTTCAGGAGGTTCGCAATCCTGCACGTTGTGACTGAAAGTGTATACGAATAGTCAGGGGCATATCAAATAATTTAAAACAGTTTAAACAAACAGTAGATTAGCTGCGATGGTTAGAATTATTACAGACCACGAATATGCAACACTGCATCGAAAAAAGGAAAGAAAATATGCGCACACCATTAAAATGCACATTAGAAACAAAAACATACGAGTCGTACGCCAGTCAAGCTTCATGTCGAGTCGTTTATTGACGCATGATAATGAGTTAGGCACATAGTAGGCTTGCAACAACTGTAGGAGTCTTTGTAACATAACTAAGAATAGGAATGTTTGTGTCGAGGAACAAGTAATGTACGTGGACCTGAATTTAAAACAGCCTTAAAATACTGTGATTTGTTCATTTCCAGCATATTTTTATTCCGGCCGAAAGCGTACGCGTGAAATATGAATACGCCTTTCAAGGCTATTATAGATACGGAACGTCGTCAAACCAGGAAAGTCGCTACTTTTACATATAGGAAGTTGCGTTAGTTGAAAAGCATATACGTCCATGAGGCCTAGGTTTAAGTACATGGATTTGTCTTCATCAGGACTGCCTTTCCTGCTGTATACGCCAACAATGACACGCCCCTTGCTGAAAGTTTGGCTCTATAACGCCGTTCCTTGTTAGACGAGCTCCCGGCACATCCAACTCCCATCTCACCTTGAAAATACATACTATTGCGATTCCCAGGCTAACGTTGAATACGCCAGGCGTGTTCATATGGACGTAGGTTCGCTAAAGTGTCGCAGTTGAACCGCGTAAAGTCTCGCAGCAGGACAGACGCCAGCATTTCTGTCTCGAGCGCTTGAACAGAGCACAGCAATGCAAACAATGTGGTAAGTTTGCTACCTGCAGTATGAGAGGTTATGCCTGTTGTCATCAGCGAAAGGAGACAGAAACCAGGAATCACGTGTGCTAATCAAAGTAGTAACATTTACTCTCACAACACCGCCTTGGTACGAGCTCAAGCTATTTATGCTGAAGATGCAGGCTAATGTGTTTCCAAAAATTTTACAGCATGGTACAGACAAAGTACTGCATCCTGTTGACCCAAACAAACGCGAGATTCACTGACACTGGAAGCCACAGGGTTTAGTTAGTCTCACGGACCAGGGACGGCGCCGGTGGAGGAGCACCCCCCTCCCATAATTTTCGCCTGCTCCCCATGCCCCCCCCCCCTCCCCACTCAAACCAAATGTAGTCCGAAGAATGCGTGAGTTACCCGAGTTTTTGTCCACTCGAATAAACACACTTTTCTCGGGTACTCCCTTCCCCGGTGAAAAAGTCCTGGCGCCGTCCCTGTCACCGACGCATAGCTCATCATGGGCTCCATGTGGTCGACCGTCGATAGATTACTTTCAGCAACAGAAGTCTAATATTCATCTATTATTGCTCTTTCTTTCAGCATTATCGCTCTCGGTGCGCTTTGAAGTGTTATTAAGTTATTATAGGTAATAAACAGTGCTGAGTGAGTCATCCGGAGGAAACTACCATTCCAGAGACATCCTTCACTGGTCCATTACCGCTAGCTTCAAATCTCCGTTTCCCTTTGACCTTCTGTATTGTTCAGACAATCTTTGGGGCATTCTCTATAGCAACGCACTACGATTCCTTCGTCCCCACTGCTACCAACACCTCCCGCAGACTGCGCATGAGCGGGTTTTGCCACACCTGCACAGTTGGACAAAAACGGTGCAGCGGAAAGAGCAACACTTGAACACACACGGTAAGCTACTTTCTAATGACATCATGTTCGCCACTCCACTTAGCTAAACGTTGAAGATTATTTCGTGTCGTGAAAACTAGAGAACACGCGAGAAAGTTATCCATCGACAGTGTACATAACCTCAGCGGCAAGGTCCTGGCGGGTCTCGCGCGTTCTGGCACAATCCAGCCGCTTGTCTGGCAACATGTCTGCTTTGAAGAGGAAAAAAAAAAAGAAACTCGTGGTGCACAGTTCTTGCGTTTGACGCTGCGTAGTGTCACCGAAGAAAACACAACGAGAAGATGACAAAGGACATGCGGTAGAAGGGGGATGCACAGTATAGTATATAGCGTGATGTTTTACATACGATGTATGAAAAGTTCAACGGCTGACGTGGCGAGACAGATCAACATCACTGCGATGCATCGCGATGTGGCGTAGTGTCCCATTCTATCACAGATCCACGACTGCCAACAACGGGCTGTTTTTGGCGCCGATGCACGCACTGTACACAAAACTGCTCGCGTCTGCACAAAACAGCTTGGACCGGCATCGTCGTATTGCTAGGCGCTGTTTGTTGTACACGTAGCGCACGAGAACTGGCGCTATACGACAACGCACGTGCAGTGCGTGCGCCCTCGCAACTGGTGACGCGGCACGGAGCAATGTCGTAAACACTCCTCGGTCAGGGAAGGTGGTCTGCAGCAGGCTCGGCGTTGTGCTTATAAATACACACACGGCCGGGCGACTGTTGGCCGCACTGAGGAGGTCTTACGTGAAAGACTAGCTGGCATTGTCGACCCTCAGTAGGTGAGAGGATAGTGTCATTGCGTGCTGAGCGGGACCAGGTTAGCGCAGGCCAGGTTCTCATCCGTGAGCGTCAAGACATCCGTGCCGTACAGGTGAGGCGGTGCGTTGCACGTGATGTCGTTGCGCTGCCAGAACCGGTCCAGGTAGTTGGAGTTGGTGAACGCCCGGCCCACCCACGTCAGGTTGCAGTCGCAGTAGTACTGGTTATCTGCGAGCACAGACGTAGGATGGTGTAGTTAAGAAAAAAAGAAATACGAAGTCAACGGTTTCGCCACAAGGGCGAGTCAATGAATGCGATAGCAAACTACTGGAATGTCATACGAAGTCAGGCTGGCTGCTAATCTTTTTGGATACGATCTCGTCTAAACGCTGGTTTAAGAAAACACGGCCGCCGCTCCAGGGACCGAAGCGGTTCTCGTGCTGCTAGTTCTCTAAACGAGACGTATAGGCGTTGAAGGCCCATCACGTTTACAAGCTGTCCCCTAGTTTCTGTCGAGTTAGGTAGGTAGGTAGTAAACTTTATTCACTCAGTTGAGTTAGCGCGTGCGCCAGCGCTCGCTATCACGCCTTGACGAGCGAAGTTCGAAGTTGCTTCTGAAGCGACAGAGCCCACACTCCTCCTCCCCAGCGGCGCCCCTTCACGCTTCTGCGCCGCGGGGAGTTTCCTCTTTGCTTGACGAGTCATCGACACTAGGCCTCACACACGGGGTGACGTTACCGCATGTGCCCTTCGTGAGACGGAGACGGCCGGCTATTTTCCTATCTGTTGTAGCCGGGCTCGTCCCTATGACAACGATATGTGGGGCTTAACGTACGAAAAACACCATACGATTATGAGAGACGCCGTAGTGGAGAGCTCCGGAAATTTTGACCACCTGGGGTTTTTCAACATGCACCCAAACCTAAGCACACGGGCTTGCATCGTTTTCGCCTCCATCGAAAATGTAGCCACCGCAGCCGGGATTCGATCCCGCGACCTGCGGGTCAGCAGCCGAGTATACCTTAGCCACTAGACCACCGCGGTGGGGGCGCTCGTCCCCAGCCCTCATGCATTTTTACTAGTGCGTAGAACGTACGATGCGCAGGACAACGTTATCCAGTTAAACTTTATATGAACACGACGGCGACTGCACAAACCTGCGGACAGTGTCTATATACTTCTTATTGCAATTAAATTCCTCAGCCCATCCTCCCCGTTTAGATGGCCAAACAGCGAAGCTGTTGCGTTGACGGTCGTTAGCGCCGTTATTCCTCTCATAAGCAGCTTGCTCCTCAACGGTGCAGACTACACCTATATAGAATCAGGCGAAGTCTGTACACGAAAGTCTGTACGATTGGCTAGCCAGATAACATGATATGCTCTACTTGAAATGTGCGTTCACATATCATTGGTGAAAACGAGATGACGCAGCCTTCCGGCTCCACCAATAATGTTTCAACGGATTACTACTACTAGTACCACTACTACTACAATTACTACTACTAGTAGGACTGCTGTGGAACAGGCTAAAGTAAGGCAGGTTACCTGAGAAACCCCAGCACATAAGCTACCATGACAGGTCGTATAAACTACAGATAAAAAAAAAAGGCGAGACAAGTTGCGCTGTCTGTGTCCTGTACGTCTTTTTCCAGTGCGCGTCTTCAAAGCGCGCCCGCACCGTCGACATGCAGAGCCAATTAGTCCAATTAAGTGCAATATACTACGCAACTAGTTATATTGAATTCCGCATCTAATTTGCGCGAAACCGAACATGTTTATTCACTAAATACGGGTAGAGAGGCTAATACTCACTAATACACGCTGGCAACACTGTGATAATGTAGTACACGCGTGCTATTAAATGTCTCTGTGTTACTTCATTAATTATTTTTTTCACGCTATGGACAGTTCCACAGGAAAAGTTGAATAGGCCTATCGGCGAATACGTTTCCCACCGCGTTCATGATATGCATTTACTGCGCACGCAACAAATGACCTTACAGTCCTGATCATCGGCTCCGTGAAATAATCAGTGTGCGAAGCCTGGCTTCTGCTGCTATTCTTAACTGTATAGGCGCATGTTGTACTGCATGCAAGGACATGGGCAAGCTTATCGGAGCTCCAGCTGTCACAGTTGACACTGGCTGAACAGAGAACTTCGCGTGAGCGCAAATCACGCCATTTAGAGGTTGAATAGCTCTCCGCCAGGGGCGGTTTCTATACAAGGCATGGAGTGATAAGCCTATCTACGCTCAGGGCCTCGCAACACCTATTCCTATATATTTGTTTCTGTCTTTTTGCACGCGCAGTAAAATTATATGAATTTATGGTGCCATAAAGGTACAGCGACTGTCCACATAGAAAAGAACGTACAGAACAAGCGCATGTTTTGCATTTTAAGGTGGTGTGATGGTAAACCCCACAAAAAATGCAATTTTGACGCCGAAAATTTCCAAGCACTCTGAGGAACAAACCTCTGAAAGCCCGATATTGAGCGGCCGCTCCAGCGCTTTAAATTCCGCGGCAAAGTGCGCCGCGCACCCTCTAGCACACCCATACACGCATAAAATAACATTTTTCCCGAATGGCGTTTTAAAAAAAATTTTGCCACAACAGTGTACCTTTTCTGAACAAGTATTGCATTAACTTCAATGAAACTGCACGCATAAGCTACAACAATTTTGTTGCAAGCAATCTGAACTAAATAGAATTGCTGATTTTGTAAAAAAAGTTACGCTCTACAAAAATCAAACACCGATCAAGCGGCTTTGTGCATGCAGTATTTTTTTTCTCACAACTACTCCATAAAGGATGTCCTAGATATACTTTTTTTTAGTTCAGATATAACCTATGAGTCTTTACAACAGCACGGCTGAATATCATTATATTCCTTTTGGTGGTTACAGAAAAAAAATACATTTAATAAGTGAACCCACAGTAAAATTTTGGAGTGGGCCATAAGAAGCATAGACAATCTATAGGCATAAAAAGGGGGTGTCACACGATAAGCAGTAGCATTCTTTGTGAGCCCGTGAACTTTTTATGCGAATACTCGCAGCGATTCCCGAAACATTACATAAAAAACAGACGCATACAATTTACCCTACATGCCCCCTTAAGCCTTACAGAAAGAGACATACAGTCATGAGCACACTTAACGCGAACGCTCAGCAGCGTGTTCCGAAACAGAAACAAAAGCCAGCCTCCTCGGGCTGAACCTGAAGGGGCTGACGCCTGGCCACTAGGCGGACGCCCTCGTATCTGTATTTATTTATTTTTGATGAGTCCACCAAAAAGGAAATCGGACAGGAGAATCATTGCACATGAGCACACACGCGATGAGCAAGCGGCCTCGGAGGAGGTTGGCTTGTGCACGCTGCAGGCGTGCTTACTCTTTTTTTTCCCTACACGACACTATAGTGCGACCTATTGGACATTAATAATGTTCTTTCATCTATCCATCCGCACCAAGGAGGGTTAAAGAAAAATTGCTGGAGTGGAAGCTCCTGCAATGCCTTGCCAGCAGAAGTGAAGCCACCTTTTGCCACTGCCAAGATGGCGGAAACATGCTCTTTTCCGATAGTGCCCACTTAAAGATCAAGTGGCTTTGATAAGTTATGTAAATTCTACGTCAGTTCTATTTAAAAGATAGTTGTTCCCGACGAAATAACACATAGAAACGAGTATGTATGACTGAATCTTCAAAGAACTTTGCCTTCAATTAGAGGCTCTCTAAGGAAAACTAGTAACTGTAAGACGCACTTGAAGCACTATATGTGACCCGAAAAAAATCCCGCATTAAACTCGTTGGGCGTGCGAGAGAAACGCCTCAATTTTAATCGTTGAACGGTGATACTTTATCATGTCCTTAGTAAGATGGCCGCCACAGCCGCCATCTTGCCAGAGGAACGGCTTCAGTTCTGCGCAATCGTTTTCACTCCAGCAATTTTTTGAACCCTCCTTGATAGGCACATGTTTAACAAGGTGGTGGCTTTCTTTTCCGCTCTCTTCTATGTCCACCCCCTTCTTTCACTCCTCGCTTGATGTGGCGCTATGCTCTTTTGTAGAAATAATCGCGCTTCCTAACCTCAAGCTGCTATCATTGCATGAGAGACATCGAGGCACGTGCCTGGGACTTGTGGGTAGAGATAAGATGACAATGACCAGGAATCTTCTGCGTCGCGGCTGATCTGTGTCTGTCGAGTGCGCTGCAATGACCTCGCTAATTACCCGGGCGTTGCGTCACGTCCTCGCAAGACCGATAGGGCGGTCTCACTTGCAGATCGGCATTTGTAGGCCCCGGCCGTGCACGGCACCAGCACTTAGATGCAGGCGAAGTGCTTGGAGCAGCGATCTGCAACCTGTGGCCTGTGCACGACATTTATGTGACCCCCGGCAAGACTTGCGAACCTCTTTGCTACCCCCTTTATAACTTCCTATTTCGTATGCAATTCTCCGATGTCGACTGTAAAATAGGCTCTGTTGGTATTCAACAAGCATGTCTATTCTTCCAGTTTAAATAAACATGATTCTACCTTAAGATTATTGTCAATTCACAGATTTTTATTTCTCTCTGGCCCGCGCCATGTGGGCTTCTGTGCAACCTCGGCCTTCCGTCTCAAAGGGTTGCGTACCACTGCTATAGAAGCTATAGTGGAATTAGATTTAGGTGCACGCTAAATAAAAAGCAAATGTTCAAAATTTCTGATGCCTTGCACCACGGCGTATATCATAACCATATCGTGGTTTCGGGACGTTTGTACACCGAATTATTATTATTATTATTATTATTATTATTATTACTTGCTGCTGAGCTCATGCACGTCGTTGCATGCAATTCGTATAGAGTGTCCCGATTGAAACAAAATCACTCGTTGCACACACAAAAAAAAAAAATCCGGTCGCGTAACTTTGCTGCAAGTGACTGCAAGTTTTGCTGCAAGTTTTGCTGCAAGTGACTTCGAAAAACGATAGATAGCCTTGTGTCTGCAAACGATGCGTAAGATATGGCGCCATCTGGCAGTAATGTGAAGAAACGAAATGTTTTTTAGAGCGTATAGAGCCTCGGGTCGTTTAAGTTAAATCTCCAGAATTTTTTGCGAAGCGTAATAAATACCCGCTCTTTTTACAGCGTGGCACTGTCAGAGTAGCGTAATAAGCACTTCGGTCTTTAAAATTACCTATTCATGCGTTTTCTAAATAAAAAAACACACTGCCTGACAATTATGTATTGATGTGGCGCCTCAAACGTGCGTAATATTAGTTTTCTTAGACTGACAATGTTCGCAAGTACGAACGCAGCCACCAGATCAAGATGGGTGGGCGTCGAGCAGAGCGTTAAACTTTCGCCAAGTGGTTTAATCACTGGAACATACATAATATAAAGAACTAGATTGAAGTACGCCAAGGAAGACTATCGTCGTCCTTATTATCATCTTTGAAAAATAAAACAGAGAAAGAACGTGAAGTGGGTAACCTCGATAACAATTTCCCGGCCGTCTTCCCAGCCACCTATTACTCATGACTTTAGAGGGACCAATAGGCCCCCACTCGGTGAAACGTTAGGCGAAAAAATTCCGTAAGTCAACTGTGGGCCATCCAGCAAGCCCGCGAGGAGACGGGGTTTCCAGTCCTCCTCTTCGCGGGCTGCCTAGGCGCAAGCCACGAATGTTCCGGAGTTATTAATAGTTGTTACCACCACCAAGATTTCCAGGCAACCACGATGCGGGACATATAAAAAGCGAAGCCGGCACACTAGTGGGGAGACGCACTTACGAAAGAGAACTTTGACTTCTAAATTCAATCTTGGAAATCAGCCGAAATCAATCTTATATTGTTACAAAACGGAACCGGTTAGGCTTTATTTCGTCCTGTCTTTCACTCTCTCTATTGTAGCAATCACGACAGCCATAGGTCAGAACGGTCAACCGTGCATGGTGGTACAATGATTCGATCCAGCCACGAATCAATAAACCATACAACCAAGCTGTATGCCAACCAGTTGCATGGTTGACTAAACAATCCAACCCGCCGCGGTGATTTACCGGTCATTGTGCGTGAACAATAATAGCTGTTTGGAATTTAACTCCCGAAAACCAGGACATGCCGTAATGGAGGGCTCCGGAAATTTGAACCACCTGGGGTTCTTCAACGTAATTTGATTGATATGTGGGGTTTAACGTCCCAAAACCACCATATGATTATGAGAGACGCCGTAGTGGAGGGTTCCGGAAATTTCGACCACCATCTTTAACGTTCACCCAAATCTGAGCACACGGGCCTACAACATCCCCGCCTCCATCGGAAATGCAGCCGCCGCAGCAGGGATTCGAACCCTCGACCTACAGGTCAACAGCCGAGTACCTTAGCCACTAGACCGCCGCGGCGGGGCTCTTCAACGTGCACCTCGAACATTTTCACCTCCATCAAAAATGAGGCCACCACGGCCGGGATTCGATCCGGCGACCTTCGTGTTAGCAGTTGAGCAGCTTAACGCATGACCAACATGGTGGACGTGGGGCTTGAGCGCTGGCTCGTACGTCGCAGGATAAAATCCCGTCAGCGGTGGCCACATTTCGATGAAGGCAACATGCTTGAGGCCCGTGTAATTAGATATAGGTGCATTTTGAAGAACCCCACGCTGTCAAAATTTCCGGAGCTACAGCGTCCGTAATAACAATATCGTAATCCTGGGACGTTCCATGCCAACAATTATTGTTATGAAACATTCAAAGCCCTTTTTTTGGAAAGGCGTGGCACCCCTCAATAATTCTGTCGCGACTCGCGATGAAGAGCTTACTGGGGTAGATCACTAGTAGGAAATAACACTAAATAGACTGCACGAAGAAAAGACACAAACTACCGAACTGGAAATCATGAACTAATCCCCCCGAGGCATAGACTAAGCCCGAGCACTTACTGCTCATCTCCAGCAGCCTGAGGTTTCTGAGAACGGGCGCCATGGAGCTCTCGGAGAGCGTCTGCAAGTAGTTGTTGCTCACGTCCAGCAGTGTCAGGGCGGGCATGTCAGGGCGGGCATGTCGCTGAACATGTCCTCCGGTAGAGAGCGTATCCTGTTGTGCCTGCGAAGAACAATCATGGGATTCAATTAGCGATGCGAAGGTGCTTGGTCAGCGATGCTGTGATTTAGGTGACAGCAAGACCAATTTCCTTCGCAATCGTATTTGTATCGTGCTTGATAAAGACAAGTGCATCGTGTTAACATGCTCCGAACTCAGAGTTACTGCGCATGCCCAATACCAATTTAAACAACAAACACGACCATGGAAGATTATCTTAAACGTGTTCCCTCTGCTAACTAAGCCGTATAAATAGATGTGCAAGTTCAGGTCAATGCAAGCCGCATTTCTCCGACACATGGACAGAAACGGCCCACGCCCCAAAAACGACCACGCGACGCCCCCTCACCCTCCCAGATCTCTCAGGTAAATAAAAGCATTATTACGTCTGTCAACGTATTACGTCATGTTTTTGCCCCATGCGTCAACTTTAGCATCCTTATACTAATCGTTGGTAAAGGCCGTAGAATGGACCGGGGGCTGACAGCAACAGAATGCAGGCGGTGAATGCAAACCATGTAGTTCATTTTGACCTAAGCAAGCCCCTTCGCATAGAGTGCATGTGACGCGTCAGCAGTAGATCTGGGAGCAGTGTTGTCGCATCGAGTTGGAGGCGTTTACTGCCCTAAAGGATGTAGGTCACGAACCTTAGCAAAAGCCCAGAAAGCTATTCTCAACTCGAGAAGGAGGCCTTCGCTCTCGTATATGGCGTGACCAGGTTCAAAGACTATCTGCACGGTACCCACTTCGAAGTGGTAGCTGAGCACAAAACGGAACTGTTCAGTCCAGACAAGGCGATCTCGCCGGTGCCCGCTGCCCGCATCCAGCATTGGGCCACCCTGCTGTTGGACGGATATATGCCGCTACCGACGGACCCCTGTCAAGGCTGGCAAGTCTCCATCCGAACTGCTGTTGGGTACCAGCTACGGATCAGCCTGGACTGTTGCCTCGGGTGCACAGGCGGTAAACCACATTTCGCAGAGCACTTCTCTACAATTTATTTCTTTGCAGGACAGCCTGATTGACTGAGTTTTCCCTGCCCGCCGAAATGGCTGCCCACCACACCTGCGCCCAAGTGGCTCGGATGGCGATTGTGTCCACGGCGGACGACAAGCAACATCGTCACGCGGACGAACTGCCCACACAACTCGGACACGACGCAGCCAGAAGGCGCCACAACCGCCACCACCACTCAAGCCAGCGGGCATACTTGACCCCACTCCGGCGATATACAAGGCACCACCTATATATACAAGCCTATATACAAGGCACCACCACCGCTTCGCTGGTCCAACAGACTACGGCGGCCACCTCAAAGGCTCCACTGGTAAAAGGGGCGAGATGTGCTACGTCATCCGAGCGTGTCATCAGTTGACAGAACAGCACACGTCCAGCTTATCACAATCACGTCGCCGCAGTGCCACATAATAGCGAGACACGCAAAATAAAACCTTTTCGTTCTCGCTTGGTTAGTAAGCCGTTCCTTCAATATTCAACAGTCTTGAGCACTTCTGCTTTGTGGACCGTTGCGGGGTCTCCACTCCCACCCCCCCCCCCCCCCATCCCTACAGAGCCTGCATCACCAATTAAGACAAACCAGTGGGACCACCACGGTAAAAATTAATATTTATGCTACGAAGTGGTTCTTGCAATGATAATAAGCACTGCAAACAAGAGTCACGACCCGCCCCTTTCCCCTTTTCAAGTTTCAGCACAACGAAACCGCCCCTTAAAATGAGTGGCTGGATTCAACCATGGTGCGACAGGTATATGTACTCTGCGTTTATTTATAAAAACAACTGTTCGTTTAGAAAAAAATGGTTCACAATTTAGAGGATTATGTACTGTATACTATGGGAGAGCATAAAGCCATCCACCTTAGGCCTCACACTTGATGAGGCCGTGTTGAAAAAACAAAATTACGCCGCGAACGAGTTCGCGACGGTGGTGACAACGTGACAGAGGGGTTAACGATTCATGGTACTTCATACTCTACTACGGGAGGGCAAGGAGCCGTCCCAACTAAAGATAATCAGAATTCACCAGCATCAACACGTCGGGGTGAAGCAAGATGTGTATAGAAAAATAGTTTAACGATTTCGAGTACTTCGTACTCCAACTATGGGAGAGCAGTGAGCCGTCCCCAGCTAAAGAGAAGAGGGTCACGGAACCACATTCATGTGTGTTTATAAAAAATTGGTGAACGATTTAGAATACTTGGTACTCTACTATGGGAGAACTGAAAGCTGCCTTTTACCCTTGATCACATCCGGTTTTGTCTACCGATGTGCCTTCGTCTAATGCATTTATTAACATATAATAAAACCGCAGGGTAGAAGCAATAAACCGAGAAGTACACCATAGTTTGCGTTCATATTTGTGTTCCTGCTGTTAGCACTAAAGCTTGAATGTCATGGGTTTATTTCTCCAAAGATAACATCACAAATTCTCAACCAAAGCTAACGCTTTCGAAGGGAATGTTCAACTTTTATTTTGTAATTAACGAACAATTTAGGTATTCGTTCTTTTCTAAGATCTTACCCAGCAAAACCGCCATACGCCTGCGAAGGTGAAAGTATAGTGATCAAGACCACATTGATTTTGAGCGCCTTGCGATCATCTATGGGCTGCTAAACTCGCCCCGGTGAAATCAAAGGTATACAAGGTGAACATTGCGCAGTGGTCTAGCAGCCGCATTTCAACGGAGGCAGACTGCTAGAGGGCCGCGTGCTTACGTCGAGGTGGCCAGTGGCCTACATTTTCAAATCCCTCTACTCCGGCACCCCTCACAATCATAACGTGGTACTGGAACGTAAAACCCAAGGAGGTTTCTTTAAAAAATGGTGAAAAACCGGCAAATTATCGTGACAGGTAAGGCACCATGATTAGCACGACACCTCCCTGATGAGCTACGACGGCGGTTAGGTCAAACAATTAATAGAACAGAGTAGACTCGTTGGAAATCGCAAGCGTATTTCCGACGAAGATAACTTATCGCTTGAATTCATGAAATGGTTTTGCGTCGACAGCCGCGAAGAAACCTCCAGGATCTGAGTCCGGTACAGTTTTGTTGTTAAGAATACAGCACAGATTGACTGTATGGTGTCAACGTTGTCGATGCAAACAGCATTGAGAAATCACGCTGACAATCGGCCAGCATTATGAAAACGCACCAAGCGTTCAGCGCAAGCAACTTTCCGCGAAGAAGATTCTTGCGGATAACACCAGCTTTTGTGGAATACGCACTTCGATCTCTGCACGCCGGACATCTTTACCACGTTTTACTCAGTCATTTAAAGCTATAGCGTGCGCCTTTGTACAGCATAGGGATTCGAAAATTCAGGCACAGAACTCAAATCCAGCCCTTGTCTACGCATTACGAAAGTGTTTTGTTTCGAGGTCCATCGAGAGTTCACTGACGTCATTTCCGTCACGGAACGTTCATTTGTAAGATGCCCATACAGTTGAGAAAGAAAAACCAGAAGAGTTTTATTGACGAAAATGACGTGGCTGTCGAACCCGGCCACGGACTATCGGTTCGTGGTCATATAGGTGCCGGACGTGCTCTATCTACCCACTTCTTTTCCGAAACAAATACACGATGCTTCGCAAACGGAGCATCTCTTAAATTTTCTCCGCGAGAGGGACGCCAGCGGCAAGTGGAACACCTTCGCGGCTCAAGCTGCATCTCGCGTTTATGACGCACTGTGTAATAGCGTATGCGCAAGTACAGGAATTAATTACCTCCACAGGTGGTCACATGCGTGCTGTGTCGCCACTGAGTGAGAGCACGTGCGTGTGAACGAAGTCACACCGGATGGCCCATCATCGGCTTACCTATTCGCAATAAGTCGCGCTTACCAGAGAAAATTTGTCTTACGGGTAAAAACGAAGATATCATCATGAGGCGCGCCGTATGACGGTGGCAGCACGATAAATTTTAAAGACGAGTCTTTCTTGGGGACCTTCAACTTTGGTCTTTGGTCTATTATTTGGTCTAAAAACTTTGGCCTCCTATTTTTTCCAGTTCTTCATTTGTACTTCTGCCGCTTATAGGAGCTAGAGACATGACCAGCAGTGTTGGTTTTATACAGAGAATGTATGTATGTATGTATGTATGTATGTATGTATGTATGTATGTATGTGTGTATGTATGCGTGTCCATGTATGTGGCTATGTATGTATGTATGTAGGTATGTATGTATGTATGTGGATGTAGGTATGTATGTATGTATGTATGTATGTATGTATGTATGTATGTATGTATGTATGTATGTATGTATGTATGTATGTATGTATGTATGTATGTATGTATGTATGTAACAGTCTGCATCATACACCGAGCTGACATGGCAATACCATCAAGTTCCAAGCAGCATGCCTCAATCCATGTTGTATCGTTGCGTAAAAGCGCGCATCAAGGTCATTTACGTGGATTACCGACGACGACAACAGTTAACTCGCGATTGTAAACAGGATGTAGAGCTGCCTTACGACAAACAGGGGGGAAAAAACACGCTGGCGCAAAGCTAGAGACCTATCCGCACACTCGTTCGAGAGTAGACAGCGTGCCGGCGGAAATCAATGGCGAGTACGCGGCTCTGATCTTTCTGGAATCCAAAGACCTGCACTTCGAGTGGGCCTTCTATCAGCCGCTTCCTTGGCACTGCCTTTCTCCGCGGCTTGCGAGATTATTTATTTATTTTATATATATTTTTTTCTCTCCCAGCATTTGCTTGACGTTTCTTATCAGGCAGCGCCTCTTCTATATCTCGAAGGAATGTCATTACTCCAAGGTTCGTGCCAAAGTTCGCGCGCTGCATGCGTAGAAGTCGGGAACACGGGGACGTCGCCTTCGTAACTTCGTGCGTAAGTTACGAAACAAGCGTAACTAAGGCGACAGTGTAACGAACGCATTTACTGGCGGATATAACGTGTGAACAGCTATAGAAGGAATTATTTTATGCTGTCTACAGGTTGCCTGCGGATTTCGCTAGGAGGAA